TTATTAATATTGATACAAATACTTATATTTTTTGCAAATACATACACAATTACATAGAAGACACTCAGATCAATAAAACAATCATACTCATGAATAGAAATGTTTGTAGCGTGCGAGGAATCGAACCCGCGACCATCGGAAGAAAAGGTGTTAAACCACTAGAACACCGGGGCTGTCAATTCCTAATTTAGTTATAATAATGCCTCATAAAATAAGTATATCTAGTGCCCCCCAGCGTAAATCGTTAGTGCAGGCTGGTGCACCATTCCATAATCATCCATAAAAAAAAATTACATGGCCTGCGCTGACGCTTTACGCTGGCTCGGCACCAGCGGAATATGGATCCCAACTCAGAAAAGTCTTAACCCTTTTGGATGAGGTTTCTAGTATTTTATTGTTGTAAGCTTCACTGAAAGTTTAGTATTTGTTTTATTCCAATTGGTTTACCAAAAATGTTATACGAGTATAAACTCGCTGGCTCAGTTAGTTAACAAATATGAAAGAATGAAGAGAGAATCGTTATTGATGATAAGATAGCCTCAGTGGTCGAGCGGTTAAAGCACAACGTACTTCCGATGGTCGCAGGATCAATTCCTCGCACGATGTAAACATTTATATTCAGAGTATGATTGTTTGCATTCGTCTGGGTGTTTTCTATGTATATTATATATGTATTTACAAAAAAATGTATCTATATATTAATATCAGTTGTCTAGTACCCACAACACAAGCTCTGCTTAGCTTGGGACTAGATGACGCTGCGTGAATTGAGTTCAGTTATTATTATTACCTACCAATTCTAGTACATACCATGGAGCTAGCCGTATGTATATTAGTCACCCTCGTTGATCATAAAGAAAAACATGTGGATTACTTTTTTAATCTATTAAATTAACTATAAAAAAAAATGAAATACTATTGACTCCTGCGTTAGATTCTTATCATCATTTCGGACGTTGACGAATTGCAAAGACAATGGGTCTAATATTTTTTATCATAGATTTGTCATTTGTTTTTTTATAACAACTAGTCCCTAATAATATTATTGGCGACCTCGGTGGTCTAGCGGTTTAGCACACACACTTAATTCCAATGGCCGCGGGTTCGATTTTTCGCACGGTACCAACATTTGTATTCAAAAGTATGATTGTAGCCATACCAGATCTGCTCTGTATCCTGTAATTTCACTACCCTATCTCAACAAAGGCTGGAAAGAAAGCTGCTTGGTTGAAACAGGTGAACACAGCACAGCATCTGAGTAGAAGCTTCTACTGTACCCAACTCCCGTCAGTTGGGGGGAAAGGGGATTGTTAGCAATGTGAACTGATGATCTTATTGCTAGCAATGTACCATGTCAAGTTGACCTCCGCGGTTCCCCCTGGAAACCTTCTTGATAAATTCATGGTGAATTTACCACGACGTGCTAACTGACCTGACCTCATGTTCACCTTATCATCCTCCACAGGTGCCCCGCCAGCGTAGCCCGTTGGCGCTGGCAGCCATACCATTCCATTAACACGCAGTCTAGTTTTTTATTAAGTCTAAAAAAACAAATTAATATTTAGGAATTACTGAGTCTTTTTTTTTTTGCTAAAAAAGGGACCGTTACCTGTGTTTTTCCTGTGTTCTATATTTATTTTATTAATTTGCTTATTTATAATCAGATGCCCCCAAATGTCAAAGCATATTGAATATTCAATGTTTTAGATTAATTCGCCGCGATTCTTTTGTTGTGTTTGTTTGTAAAAGAACGGTGATATATTTCGGTGTTTCTTAGAAGTTTGTACCTTTTGTAAGTTTGAGCTTTAGATAGGGAAATACTATTAAAACCTTTATAACTTGTTGAAAGACGTTTGAAAGCTTGTCCAGAACCGAATTAGGTTTTTTTAAGCAGTTAGAATGGCAAATGAACAGTCAGTTCACCTGTAGGTAACCGTTGCATATATACATGAACAGCACTACGGACATCACGTTATCATGTGACATCGTGATACCAGTCATGCGTTGCCGTACCTAAACATTAAGAGGTCATGCTTCTTACCCTGTAATTTCACTGCCTCATCTGTTTCGTACAACCATATATTACTTTGTGTGAGAGTAAATCTATAGTTTTTTAAGTTCAAAGTAAGTTCATCCGGACATTAATATGTTTGTACGAAATTCAAAACATGCATATATGGTCAACTACTTTGTGATATGGTTATTTTCATTGTGAAACTTATAGCTGTATAATTCTTGGTCTCGTGCACGCACGTAACTTTTTTACATAAAAACAAAACAACGTAACAGCCACTTACAATGCGAATACATTTCACTCTGACCTATTGGCAGCGCGCATTTAAATTGATTCCAAATTTGAAATTTAAAACCGATCCACGCGATTGGTCCGTTATTTTTTTAAAGTCTATCGATGACAAGTCATTATTCAGGCAACAGCTAATAAATAAATGTGCAGTGTTTACATATTGATAAATGATTTTCATCCTTTCTTTGTATCTGTCTCTGTAGATCTAGATTTACTGATTTAAAAGTACACTTCTATACTGTTTTAAGTTTGACGCGGTCATTATTTATAAGTATAATTAGTAAATCACGGGATCTTACCACGTTTTATATTTGTTGAGTTCCCGATATTATTAAGGTGAGTTTACCCGTGATCATGGCCGTTGAAACACTGCCGAAATATCGGGAGCTCAACAAAAAGAAAACGTGGTAAGATCCCGTGATTTACTAATTATATACTTCTATAACTCTTAAGGCAGGTGTTACATATGAATGTAGATGGTTATAAGGGCATAGGATGGCCGAAAAAGAGATGGATGGACTGTGTGAAAGATGATATGGTAAGAATGGGAGTAAATAACGAGATGACTGCGAACAGGAATGAAAGGAAGAGAAAAACATGTTACGCCGACCTTAAATGAATGGGATAAGAAAGATGGTGATGAAGTGAACACTTCTATTCTTGTAACCTTTCTATAGATATTAATGATTTTGATTGCTATCACTATAGTCGTAAAGGGGATGGACGAAAGGCGTGTGCATGTGGCAGAAATGCGAATGTTAAGATGGTTGTGTGGGGTCACCAGGAATGACAGAATAAGGAATGTGTATATACGAGGAAGTTTGAAAGTTGCGCCGGTTATAGAAAAGTTGCGAGGTAACAGATTGAGCTGGTATGGGCATGTTATGCGGAGGAACGAGGACCATGTCCTATGGAAAGTGTATAATATGAATGTGGATGGATGTAAAGGGAGGGGACGCCCTAAGAAAAGATGGATGGATTGTGTGAAAGATGATAAGAATAAAAGAAGATTATGTTTAGATATGACAACCGATAGAGAGCAGTGGAAGAGAATGACACACTGCGCCGACCACAAATAATGGGATAAAGGCAAGGTAATGATGATTGCTATCACCGTAGTGCTCTTCATGAGATGCCCGCAACGGTTACCGCTTACAATCAGGTAGGCCGTCAGTTTGTTTGCCATTGCTCAGTAGTCTAGCGGTTTAGCACACCGCTTAACGATTGGAGACACAGCTTGGACGATTATTTCAATTATAAATATTATAAATAATAATAAAGTAATAATAATTGTAATAATGCTAATAATCTATAAATTTAAATATGTAATATTAATCTAATTGTTATAATGTAGATATTAATATATGTAATTATTGGGTTTATTCATAAAATTTGCATGTCTACTGAAAAAAGGCATATTACAGCGCAGCCTGATACTGTCACTGGGGCTTTATTGTTATGTGCATATCTGTCTGTAATGCGAATAAATGACTTACTTACTTACTTAAATTCCGATGGTCGCGCGTTCGATTCCTCGCAAGGTACAAATATTTGTATTCATGAGTACGATTGTCTTATTGATCTGAGTGTCTTATATGTAATTGAGTATATATTTACAAAAAAATATTGAAGTATTTATATCAGTTGTCTAGTATCCATAACACAAATTGCTACTACATGATAATATAATTCTCTCTGAATACCAATTGAGACAGAATTGACCAGATAATGATTAAAATTGCGCGGATGTATGGATATGAACTTTCGCACACTTATAGTTTATATAGAGAAATTATCCAGAGAATGAAATAAAATTAATTAAAAATATTACAACTCACCACCAAGTATTTGACACACGCATATAGTATATATGTTTATTGTTAAACTCTCTGGTCACGTTGAGAATAGATTAAAATTGTTAGTCTTTAATATTATTTGTGTACTAGCTACTCGCCCTGGCTTCGTACGGGTGTACATGTAGTGTACATATAAACCGTCCTCTTGATAGCTTTCTTCTATATGATAGCAAAATATATCAATTACATTTTATTGACATTCAAAAAGTTATAATTATTGATCATTGTTATTAATTTATCTGTTAATTGGACATACTGCCACAATTTTATTTATTTTGTATAATGTTTTTAGGTCATGTAGTAGTCTGTAGTCTGTAGTCTTAAAAATTGTTACTGGATGTATTAACTGCCATGTTAAAGTATCCAATAAGTAGTGTAATTATTACACTAAGTATCATACTAGATAGATGATTAGATAGATAGATTAGATTAATTTGTCTTGGCATAAGTGTCTGTGATGGACCTACATGAATAAAGCTATATTTGATTTGATTTGAATCACTATCTAACAAAAACACGACTTAAAATCCGTTGCGTAGTTTTAAAAATTTACGCATATTCCTATGGATGTCCCTATGGACAGACAGCGACAGCGACTTTGTTTTATACTATGTAATGATGATCTTACTGAATGTTAAATTAATTACGGTTGTATTTCTACCACTGTCTAGTTATTATTATTTCTATTAAATAAACAAAATTAACCTTCTTTTGTTAGTAAATAAATATATTCTGCGAATGGACAGGTCAGACTACGGTAACCGTTTCATTGTTACGTAATGTAAAAAAAAGGATGTCCCTCGAATTGTGAATAATGGTATCCAATATTTTTGTCGTAGATTGCATCGTTGAAGAAGTTAACAGATGATTTGCAAACTTCGTTGCAGTCAGAGGTAAGTCCAATATATATTTTTTTAAATAGCCCGTAGAATCAACGGCGGATCCAGGGGAGTAGTCATGGAGGTCATACCCCCCTTAGCCCAGGACTTAGATGGACCACTAATTAAACATAATGAATTTATTTATATATTTTGTCACCATACAGATTTTATTATTTTTAAGTACAGTACTTAAGTACAATAATAAAATACCTACTTTTTACTTGTATCTATTGTTATCAAAATTAAATTATAAGTTCTTGACTTGACCACGACTATGTGATCCCCTCCTGGCGCCAAAGTTGGATCTGCTCTAACCCCGAGTTACATTTTCTTGTATGAGATGGGGTATCTGTATCTAATATTATTTCATCTGTGCTTTTACGAAGGACGTCGTCAGTTTAAGATTAATTAATTTATACATCTTAGCTATGAAGGCAATTTTTTATATATGGTTCTTCATATAGTTGTAACATATAATTTTAAATATTTATTTTTATAAAATATAGACACATGAAACCATTTCTAATTGTAGTATTTGTCACTTTATCTGTTGCCATTCCAGAGGTTTAAGGTGTCATGTACCCTGTAATTTCACTGTTATATCTCACCATACAGACAGACACTCAATTCGAGAAATGCGTAAACTCTAAAATATTCTTAATTTTAGTATATTTGAATAAATTCAAGTTCTATTTGTAAGCGTGGAAAAAACCCCCACAAACATAAAATGTAATGGATGCCCATCTGTATACTCTTTCCAATAAAAAAGCTGTTTTCAAATCGGTTTATAAACGACGGAGTTATGAAGTAATAAACACAAAAATAGTGAATTAATTGAGAACCTCCACCTCACCTCACCTTTTTTGAAGTCAGTTAAAATATTTTTAAATCACTATAACATGGTTTTTTCCTGGTCATTGAGAGCAAAAACTGCATATTGATAATTTAAACAAAAATGCTACCAATCTAAAAGTAAACACTCTTAAATAAAAAAATAAATTCAAATTAGTTTTTAAACGACGGAATTTGAAGTAATAAATATATAAAAAAAAACCAACTGAATTGAGAACCTCCACCTTTTTTGGAGTAGGTTAAAAATATATTTAAATCAGCCTAACATAGTTTCTTTTTTTTTTTGAGCTCCGACAGGAAACACTAAATATTAATGTTTTCAAACAAAAATGGTAATATAGTTTAATTTGAAAGGGAAGCCATACACGATACTTATCACGGGACCCACGGTCCGAGGTCTCAGGTTCAAAAAATGTATGCAAATCAAATGTCTTTAGGATTTATGAACACACTATCTGTGCCCGTGACTTCGTCTGTGTGGAATAGAAAAAACTCGTCAGCGTGGGTCAGTCACCTCATTCAATTTTTTAGGATTTATAAACACATAGCTGAGCCCGCGACTTCGTCTGCGTGCGTCCGCGTGGAATAGAAAAAACTAGTCAGGTTGATCAGTCTCACCTATTTTAGTCGGTAAACAGCTTGCTTTGTAAGCTGTTTCGGTTGCTGGGTGAGATTAGGCAGTGAAATTACAGGGTAAGAGGCATGACATCTCAGCCCGCGGGAATGGCAACGCATGATGTCCGTGATGCTGTTCATAGATATTAGCGACGGTTGCCACTATCATCCGGTCAGACGTGTGCTTGTTTGTTCTAATTACATAAAAAAATAGTAGTCACTCTATTTTCCCAAATTTGAGTTTAACTGAATCTGTATTATTGTAAACATGTACAACATTTATTTGAAAAGAATATGAGCTAAGTTTCTTGTCATTTCTTCTCATCTCGAAGTCATTCTGAACTGACGGTAGATTTTACATATCATATGAATCTGTAATAGACCTACATGAATAAAGATATTTTGAATTGAATTAAAGTATTGACATACTTCCAAGAATCCTTACTAATATTATAAATGCGAAAGTAACTGTATGTCTGTCTGTCGCGCTTTCACGCCAAAACTACTGAACCGATTAATTGCAATTTGGTACACAGATAGTTTAGACCCTGAGAAAAGACATAGGTTACTTTTTAATATCATATACTGCGGAAGGACATAGGCCATTTAATGCCAAAAGGGTTGTAAGAGGTTCTACCTCTTACAACCCTTTTTGCATGGGATAGAGAGGTTGTATGGAAGTATCGTCATTTTTAAAGCTGGAAACTTAGACCCTATTTTTTTTATTAAATATAAATAAATGATATTCTAAGTGTGTATAAATTTTAGTCTTAAAGTAAAATAGGAGATGAAACTTCGGAAATTCGTCATTTTTGAAGCTAGAACGATAAAACTTTTGTTTGGCTTTTTATAATTAGCTTAAAGTTTAAATAATTTGAAATTCTATCTATATTTTATTACTATAATTTAATATTATACTCCACGCGAATGAAGTTGCGAGAGCAACTAATATAATATAAATAATAAAAAATATGTAGTTACATTCACTTGCTTATATTTAACCAATAGTTTATTTATAACTCGTTCTCATCTCATAGTCAGACTACGGTTACAACGCTGGAAAATAAGATAAAAGTATTGATCCGTTTGTGAATAGGGATGATAAGGAGCTGTATAAAAGTTATTGATAAAAATTATATTGCTTTGTCCTGTTTGATACGCGTGCCGAGGCGGGTGAGTTTATAGTTATATTGTTATTTTCTATTTTCTATTCTATTTATAGCAACTATTCATAATAATAGGTTGGATAGCGGGAAGGGGTTTGTTAATGGGCCCCATTGCTAGCAATGTACCATGTCAGACCCCCATACAGTTCTCCCTGGAAACCATCACGATAAAGTCCCGGAAAAAAATTCACAATGGGCTAACTGATCTGACATCATCCCCTTATCATCCTCTACTGGTGCCCCAGCGTAAACCGTTACCGCAAACGGATAATTCTTCTCAACTATAGTAGACACCCAAATTGGACAGCAGCAGTGGACTGTTGTCCCCTTTGCTGGCAATGTACCATGTCAGACCATGCGATTCTCCCTGGAAACCATCATGATAAATTCCTGGAAAAATTTTACAATGGGCTAACTGACCTGACCTCATTTTCACTTTATTCTTCAATGGTGCTCCACTAGCGTAAACCGTTAACGCTTATAATTCTTCTCAATTGAAGTAGCCAGTTGAACTACATCGTAGTAGAAAGAATATGAAATTCACAAGAGTCCGAAAGATCCTATATTTAATGATTTCGAGTTTGAATAGCAGTTTGTCTTTATGTTCCGATCATAACTCAGACAAAAATGTAATTTAAACTGAGTAGGTAGAATCCAATACACTTGTACAAACACACAAACCTTATTCTTTTATGTTAGTCACTCTTATTTTGTATAGAGAGGCTTAAAATTCCAAAGACTATGTCAACTCGGTGACACGCTACATCCAAATAGTTTTAATTAGGTCTATTTTAGTTTTATTTATAACACTGGGCGGCCTTATCGCCTTTCAGTAATACACATTATATATCACAAGAGCCATTGCATCTCTATGCATTTTCTACGGAATATATCACGGTGAGTGTTCTCAGGAAATGTTCGGATTATTACCAGTTGCTGAGTTTCACCACCGTACCACCCGCTAGAAACTAAAATACCATCCTGATCATCTGGATCAATGGCGGTCCTCCATAGTGCGGTTTTATAGAGACTTCGCACCGCACAACCACGTTGTAGAATCACCTTCCAGCAATAGTATTTCAGAAACAATACGATATTGAAACCTTCAAGAAAAGAGCTTATTCCTTCTATAAAGGCCGGCAACGAACTTGCAATACAGGGGGTGTTGCGGGTGCTCATGGGCGGCGGTAATCACTTACCATCAAGTGAACCGCAAGCTCGTTTGTCGCCTATGCTATAAAAAACACAGGCTAACCTGTGGTCAATTTTCTTATCCTGTAATTTCACTGCCTTATAAAGTTCTTCGATCGAAACATACTTAACAATATTACCTGACGACTCTTGATTAATTTTCGGATTAATTCTTTGGCGAAAGGCATTAAGATCGGTAGTAACTATTTCATCATCATTATCATCATGATGAAATACTACCATGACGACGGTAGTATTTCATTAGTATTTATTTATTTTTCTCACACAGACGGCCTCGGTGGTGTAGCGGTTTAGCACACCGCCTTACTTCCGATGGTTGCGGGTTCGATTCCTCGCCACAAACATTTGTATTCATGAGTATGATTGTTTGTATTAGTCTGGGTGTTTTGCTATGTATAATATGTATGTATTTACGTATCTAATAATGTATCTATGTATCAGTTATTTAGTACCCATAACACAAGCTCTAGCTAGCTTAAATTAGGTCTAGATGGGGCTGTGTGAATTGTCCTGATTATTATTAATATGTAAATATTTACGAAAATATATATATCTATGTGTTTGTATCACTTATCTAGTACCCATAACACACATAACACAAGCTCTAGCTAACTTAACTTGAGTGTAGATGGCGCTGCGTGAATTGTTCTGAGAATATTATTATATTATTGATAGTTTTGTTATATCGGAAGTTCGGTATCGCGCCATCTTTAATTTGAATATCGATAACGATCCAAAAAGTGTATTGATTATAGATTTATTTGACCTACGCACCCCCATTTTGAATTTAGAATGGTTGAGACACGTGCGCGTGTGTGGGCGACGCCCCTCATGTGTGTGTGAGTAAGGCGTATCTCAAGCGCAGGCGCCGCCTCGTTACTTAGTCGTACTTTGGGCCTCGTCCCTTACACACGTCTGTACCCAAGTAACAAATATAAACTCGTTCGAAATTTAAAATTTCAAAAGTGACGCCCGAGTTCGAATAAGGTTATCTTTTGTTTGCGGGTAGGATATCCTCGGCCGTACTTGGGTAAGTTTTGTAATGTTTGCCTTTTTTGTCTATGTGTATTCTATATTTTTTTTTGTAACCGCCGTGTTTGTCTTTGATTAGCACTCGGAGTAGGCTGCGGTTGCATAGGTTAGGTTTGTTTAATTTTTAATTTTTTT